ATAATTAAATTATGCTTATTTATATTTTACTTGCCGCACCAGTAGGGGGCAAGATTTTACTCGTTTTACTTTTCTGTTCTACAGATGGATGTTGCTTGGATGATTCCGCATGGAAACCGCCGCACATTACAGAACCTGGAAGAGCTCCCCTTGCACTCAGAAGAAGCAAGGAAGAAGTTTCTCACTTGGGGGAACACGAGGATTCTCCAGCCTCCCATGGTGCTAGACCCTGCCTATCTGGATGAGCTAGGACACTGGCAGGACATTGATGAGTTTCTGTACAACCCAAAATGGAGGGTCCTGCTGTTCTTGCAAGCACCAGCAAGCCTGGAAGTCACCATCGAGTTTCTTTGCTCTCTCCGCTTCCACAATGACGGAGAGGAAGTAAAGTCAACAACTGAAGTCACCTCCACCACCAAGGTCACATTCACTCTGATGGGTCGACTCCTGAGCCTTACCGTGGCAGACTTAGGGTGGCTGATTGGTCTTTACACACTTGACGAAACGCGGAGCTTGGCCTTTGCTAATCTGCCCGACCAGCTTGATCCGGAGTTCGATGTTAAGAAGTTCTGGCAAGCTCACGGGTATGGGCGATTTCACAGTGGAGCAAGCATAGCTAGGAATTGGGTGCGTCCGTCCTGGAGAATTTTACACCATGCATTGACTCATAGCTATTTTGGCCGCCCTCATGACTCTGATGTGGTGTTTGATTCCGATATGCTATTTTTCTGGAGTCTAGAAGCGCGCGTACCAGTCAACCTAGCAACTTTTGTGGCGCGATTCCTATTTGCTCAGTCGACTAGCAACCACCAGTTTGTCTTATGTGGGCCAATGGTTACGCTTCTGGCCCGAGGATTATGTATGACAATCCCCAATGTTCTCCCAGAGGCCGCAAGCATGTTCCGACCGTCGACAAGGTATCTGACCCAGATCGCTTATAATAAGGAGGACAAGGAGGCACGCCCCAGAAAGCAGCATAGAATTCCCATGACCCTTCGCGAGCTTTCACAGGCTATGTTTGCATTCCAGGATTCTGTAGACTCTCGCTTAAGGAGCATGGAAACGCTCCTTCTCACGCAGCAATGGCAAGTGGAGGAAATACTTGAATACACCCGGGAACAAGGAACAAAGAAGGCTGAGCATGGGGCAGGTCCTAAACAAGGCAAACGTCAGGGATAGTGAGATCCCTAATTTCTTAATACTGCATTCAGAACATCATTTTTGGATATTTATATGATCTTATTTTGGAATTTCACATTATGACTCTTAAACCCATTTTGAGAATATTTTATGCATTATTTCATATTTTCAAGTTATGGTTATCTATTATTTCAATCTTCATCTTTGAATTTTACGAGTATCGAGATAACTTAGTAATTGCATGTGAGCATTTCAACCATTAACTCCAATGCCCAAATACTTTCAACCACGAGGGCGTGGTTCCGTCTAAGTGTGAGGAGGTAAGAGTTCGTGGTTGAAAAGATCTTTTTAGGAATTGTTTTGTCTATATATTGTTAGGAAAAGATTTTTTATAGAATAGTCCTCAATTTTGATTGTTTGATTAATTAATCTTTAGTTATCACCCGTAAAAATTGGAAATTTTAAAAAAATTTTTTGTCAAACTTCTATTTCTACTCTAACCTTTTTGGGAATGTTTTCTAAAATGATTTGGGATAAATTCACAATTTATTAAGAGTTTTCTTTAGATCAATTAATTTTTAAGTGCTTTATTGAAAATCTTTTTGCTGATGCTCTTTTGAGTATTTGTTGTTTCTGAAAAAGAGTTATTTTCAAGGTATAAGGGGTGACGTTTCAAAGCATACTTTGGTGAGACCGAGAATCTTGTTTTAGCCAAAAAGCAATTGGTTCTATGTCAATTGATGAGGCGTGGTGAGTATGCCAAAAAGCACGTGGTTCTATATTGCGTGATGAGGCCTTTTGAGTGTTAGAGTCAAAAAGCATGCGGTTCTATGTCGTGTGATGAGACTTTCCAGAGTGAATATCCAAAAAGCTCGTGGTTCTATGTCACGGGATGAGGT